AAGCCGGGTATTCATCTGAGCACGAATGCGAACGAGGCAAGGCGAGGCCGAACGAGCATACATATGTGGACGTGTAACCGAGGCGCGGCAAACTGCATTCGGCTGTTCGCCGCACAGACTGAGGCATTCGGGACCCGAGCCGATCGGAGTCGGTACTTCAAAGAAAAATTTGGTTACGTATGGACGGCATTCGTGTACGTTCCACGTACCTTGCCTATCTCGCTGGATCATCGTTCACTGCGTTCGCTGTGGATCACTGTCTCGTTCGTTGCCTCGGCAGACTTCGTTCGCGAAGAAAAATTTTACAAACGAGACAAAACGAGGCATTTGTTCGGACTCGCCTTGCCTCGTTCGCATTCGTGCTCAGATGAATACCCGGCTTAAGACAGTGTATAAGAAAAAGCGTGTGAAAGCAGAGAGCTCAAGAGTTCACGTTTGACACCGGATCAGCAGGCGGGGATTGCCTGCTGTTTAGGGTCCACTATCTAGTCCGAGGGTTTTATGCACCTTTCCGACGACTCTGCGACAGCCTTCGTAACTTTCTGCCGAAGCCAATGTAACCGAGGCTTTCTCCTATACCCTGTCCTAAAGACTACAGCACTGAAAATTACGTCCACGATCTACGGAGACCTACGTTCCCATTACGTTACGGTACCGTTACGTTGTCGTTACGTCCGTGTAGCTAGACCTTAAGTGTCAGCAGTAGGCAGGGATGCCAGAATGTAGGATTTCTCCTCTTCCCGAGCTGTCCCCCACTACTTTTTTTTGCCCCCACTTACGTTACCCATGATCATTGGGGACATGTCTAATAATGCCATATGTAAGTGGGGAGAGCACATTGAGCATACAGCAGCATACAGTAGTGGGGAGAGTTCGAGAAGAGGAGAAATCCTACATTCTGGCATCCCTGCGCACAGATACAAGTTAGTTTAGTTTGTGTCCGTAATGTACTAAGACAGAATAGGCATATGTATTATCTTATTATTATTTTAACAGTAATAAACCTTAGTTGAGATATTAAATACCGTGTCATTGAATTAAAAGCATGGGCTCGGTATGTCGGCTACTGGGAACATGACGGTGATCTACTTAAGTGTACTCATCTTAACATCTCCCTCATTTAGGACGATGAAAAAACTGTTTATCATATGATGTAAATGGTATCAGAATATAAATGCTTTGTAAAATTTCGTTTTTCTGAATTTTGTATTGAATTATGAACGAATAGCGATTGTGTTTCTAATTGTAAGCTTAAAACAACAGGTTTACATATTTGCAGCTACTCGCTTGTCGCTGTTAAAAGTCAGTGATATCGGTGAAAATGGTTCTTATATTTAATTTGAAAATTCAAATTTTGCGAATCAGAGATCAGTTTAATGTTCTGTCACTAATACGTTTAACCGTGTTTCAGTGTCAACTATAATAGAAGAAACGAAAATCAGTGACGTTAAAAACTTGGAACAAAGTAATGTTTAGAAAAGAAAATCCTGTAACATTTATGTTTTGTTAGCATTTATATAGCATAAGAAACGTTTTTCCTATCATTGCAAATGAATGAAATATTGCGATGTCCACACTTAGGCAGACTACCATGATGCATGATATGCAAGATATGGTATGATATGATGCAAGAGGATATGTAATGAAATCTGTTTTTAGAAAGATTGGCTATGTAATCGAACTTACATCAAGTTGCTGCTGCTGAGTCGTAATTGATCCAGTAATCGCTATAGCGACGTCTCCCGCGGCGGTTCTGTAATTCGGTCTGAAATCGCGAAGTGAAGAAATTACATCAATTATATTAGATACAGATTCACACTCTCATGTCATGACATTTAGCATTTTCACTTTTCATTTAAGGTTGTATGAATCCTTGAAACACTGTGCAAAATTTTAGAAATTTTACGAGGCTAATAAAAAGGTTGTCACATCTTGAATTTGAAAAATTTTGATTTCACTCATGAAAGAATGCAGGTGCAACAATGAGAGACTTCGTGATTTTGTACAATTGTTAATACACATTTTGAGAATAATTTAAACTTGAAATAATATGAATTTCGAGATATTATTTAGGATGCACTATAAAAAGTGCTAGAAAAGTAGAAACTGTAGGATTTGTAGACAACGTAAACAGTTCCAAGTCAAGTACAACTGTATCAAAAAGTGCCAAAACAATATATTATACGTAAAACGTAGCTTTACTTAAAAAAAAAAACATGTCAACAATTTTGTAAACCTTTATAGAACTTTATCTGTTCTCATATTGGATATAGTTTCTTATCATGTTTCTTAAACTTTTGCAGATCTTACGACTCACACAACCTTAAGTAAACGTAACAATGATCACGGTGAAAAGAAAGAAAGGTATGAAGTTAGTTACATTTTCTTGATGCGTTCGTACTCCTTGATCAGGAAATCGAAAACAAGCTGGGGACCGGTCGGATATCTGGACACCACGTTTATCGCAGCGGTCTTGAAGTCAATCGGGTAGTCTGGATCGAGAGTTGAGTTTAGGTAATTCCTCAAAATGTCAGACGAGTTGGAACAGGCTAGGGCCATTAGCTGATCCTTCCTATCATCCGCATCGGGCGTAGATACAGTTATATATTCTAAAGTATCAGTCCACGCGCTCTCATTTGCGTTCCTGACCCCAGCGCAAAGAATTTCCTTCTTCAGGTTAACGTCCAATCTGTGCAAGAAGATTAAAGACAAGGAATAAGTTATTTGTCAAAAGATATGAACACAACATTAATTGTTTGTCACATTGTCTTTATCTCTAGACTGCGGATTTTATGCATTTATGAGGAAATTGAATATACATATATGTATAATATACATACACCAATGCATTGAAATATACAGAATATTAAATGGAAAGTGCATTCCGCAAAAGATTAAAAAATTTTCTATTCAAAACACATTTCTATAAATAGTTTACTTTGTTCAAAAAACCGCAGTTTACGTATGCAGAAGTAGAAAATTGGAAAGTTATACAGGATGTCCCAGGATTAATATTACATCAGGAAGTGGAAGGTTCCTGAGGTGATTTTAAACAATAGTTTCCCTGGTGAAAATGTTGTTCGAGGCGTAGTTGTTGAGTTATTAACGGAAAACCACGAGAAGATCCAGGACCCAGACTCGCACTTACGAGCTGAGATATGAACACCTGGATCTGCCTTTTGTCCTGCACTATTATATTTTTACACATATTGTTGAAATATTGTTTAAAGTCACCTCAGAAATCTCCCATTTCCGGACGTAGTATTAGTTCTGGGACACCCTGTACACATAAAATAGAAATGCTTCATGAACAAAAATTAAGTCGCTAAGTCATGAAACTTCAAATAGGATTTCGTAAATACACATTTCATATCTTTTCACCACTTTAATGAATGATTAGTGATAAAATTCTGAAATTGATTTTTAGATATTTAAATGCGTAACCTTTGTGAACGAACCACATCCACATCTCATTAAATTTGAAAAATATCTAGAAAAAATGTAAGAATACTTTTCAGCCCAATAGGCAGTGAATTTTGAAAAATCCATAAATTAATTTTTAAGGCAGTGTTATTATTAATAGATTTCAGATGTTATTAGTAATCAGATTTCGATGTACCGTTCGGTAAAGCTTTCAAAAAGACCTAGTTAAATTTATAAAGACTAAAGGCCTGTTCTCATTGCCGTAACCGTAGTGAGAATACTACGTGGTAAGTGGTGAAATTTTTGACTCGAAAGATGCCCCGGCGGAGCCTACAGTACCGTAGTAAAAAAATGAAAGTATAGGGAAACCCATGTAAAAGCACGGGGACTTCAGAAAGGCCCGCCGACTTGTTCCGCAGACTAGCACGAAAACCCGGGTCGACTACCCGCTGAGTACCTGCTAGACCTTTTTTCATGGCCGAACCCGTAGAACCCGACCAGGATTTCGAAACATCCACGATCCACCGTAGAATATCTCAGATGTTTAACAATTTTATTTAATAAGCATATATTACATACATGTATAATACACATTTATTTAATGAACAGTTGTTATCGTCCTTTAGTATTTAAAATTACAACAGGTTATGGGCCCAGTTTGTGGAAAGTCCAAAGAAAAATTACAAATTTGATGCCCTTAAATGTGTCGAGTGCGGTCACGTGTCAAGTGAGGTTATACAAAAAAAGTAATGTTAAGCTTCGAAAGCCGATATCTCCAAATGAAATCTTGTATACAGCAAATTAGTCTGAAGAATCTTCTCGTCTGAAATTTTGTTGTCTGAAAGTAAACGTTGTTAATCATGGATACGGTTAAATCTCAAATGGAAACTCTGTTTGCCGACTCTCAAGGAAAAGTAAACTAAGTATCCTGGAAGTTTAAGTTAAATCTGACACTAAAATCAAAAGGCCTGTTCTTAGTGGCAATCGGTACTGAAAGAAAACCTCATGGAAACGATGATGATAATGTGGTCAAAGCCTGGATCAAGCAAGATCTATATATAAGCTCAAGCATTAATTGGATTAAATGTCGGTAGCAGCATAGCGTCCAAGATTGCAAATTGCACGTCGTCTGCACAAATGTTGGAGAGACTTGAGACCCTATATGGAAAACGATCTAATGTCTCTGTCGAACGACTTCAAAAACTTTTCTTCAGCTATAAATATGATGGAAACAAGTCCATAGTTGAGAATTGTATGCAGACACTGGGAGTACGCTGACGATCTGCGAGCAGCTGGTGAAGAGATAAAGGACAGCTGGATAATGACCAGAATATTAGGCATGTTACCGCCAAACCTATTTCACTTTCGGACAGCTTGGGACAATGTAAGTGTCGTCGATAAAAATATGTTTAATATGATCGAACGTCTCAAGATAGAAGAAGACAGGCAAAAGGAAAGTGCAGAAACAAGCGGGCCATCGTCCAGCGCTCTCATTTCGAAACAAGATAACAAAAAGATAGCAAATACATCAAACAACTCTCGGATTGAGTGTTTTAAATATGGGAAAAAGGGGCACGTAAAAAGATACTGTAAAGGTAAACCTTGTGCCAAGTATTTAGCATACTGTAAGCAAAATTACCCGTGTAAACTTTGCAACACCAAAGGTCATTTTGCGAAAGAGTATCCGCAAGGGAAGTCTAGTCAGACAGGCGATCAAAAGACTGATGAAACACGTGCCTTCATTACTGTAAACTTGTCCGCTACAGATATGGAACACATAAAGTCAGAATAAGGTCAAGATAAATTCTGGTACCAAGACTGTGGAGCAACCCAGCACATGACCTCTCACAAAGATTGGATGACTAATTATATCAAGCTAGAGCAGCATGTCAAAGTGATGATTGGTGATAGAAAGGAAGAGGTAGAAAGAAGGAATCGAGATAGAAGGAATAGGAATGGGTGATGTCTACTGGCAAGCATTTAACGGTCAAGACTGGTGCAAAATTTGTCTAAAGAGCGTTCTGCACATACCTAAAATGCCTTTTAACTTGTTCTCAGTAACGTGTATGCTGGACGCCAAGCTCTCAGTTTTCAAGACTGCTGATATAAAAGAAACTGTAGCTATTGCAAATCGAGATGAAAATTTGTTCAAAATGATGTTCAAGAGGGAAGAGTCAGAAAACTGCTTCGTGACAGTCTCTATCAAAACCTGGCACGAGAGATTCGCTCACCAAAACGTGAAGTATGTCAGAGATATTCTGAATAAAAACAAAATCAACTTCTTGGACGACTGGAATAACTATATATGTGAAGGGTGTGTTTATGGCAAGCATAATCGTATTTCTCACCCCATAAATTCAAAAGTTGAAAGTTAAATACTTGACTTAATTCAGGTCGACCTTTGCGAAATGAATATCCCATCTTTAAGAGGAGTCAAGTACTTTCTTCTATTCAAGGACGACTACTCTCATTATAAGACTGTTTATTTCTTAAAAACCAAAGACGAAGCAGCCACGAAACTCAAAGAGTTTATGAAGCTAGTCGAAAATCAAGAACATCAACACAAAGACGCTGCTTGATGAACTTGGAGTTTTTCATTGTAAGTCAAGTGCATATACTCCTCAACAAAACGGCCGCATAGAAAGAGAGATGCGAACAGTGGTCGAAGCAGCTAGAACTGCAATTCACGCCAAAGAACTGAGTCAAAGTCTGTGGGCTGAGGCAATAAATTATGCTGTATTTACGTTAAATCAAACCGGAACCAGTACAGTACCTGATAAATGTCCAGCTGATTTATGGTTCGGTCGCAAGTTAGACGTAAGTAAACTGAAAAGTTTCGGATGTGACTGCTATGTTCTAATTCAAGATCATGAACGTGCCAAGACAGAAAAGAAGGCCAAGATAGGAATTTTTGTAGGTTACGATCTTGACTCGCCAAGCTATAGAGTATATTTTCCCGAAGAGCGAAAGGTCAAAAGCTCAGGCGATGTAGTGTTCGATGAGAAACTCTCACAAAACCACGAGGAAGAAATTCAGAAAGAGAGAGACGAGTATATCTATGTAAGTGCAAATTCGGAAACATCGGACGACGATACAACCTTAGAAGAACGTGAACAGAGTGAATTTGTACAGAACTTCGACGAATCCGAATATGTTGAAGACCATCAGCCTGTTGCGAAAAATCTACGTGATCGCCTTTTTTTGAAGAAGCCCGATAGTTTCGGCGCTTCGATAGGTAAGACGAACACCAAGAGAAGAGCAGATGTAGCTATGATTGGCGCAATCGAGGACGTGTCTATCACTGAAGCCCTGAAGGATCCAGAGAGGCGAAAAGCCATATTTGACGAGCTTAAGTTACTTGCCAAGATGAAAACTTGGACTTTAGTCAAGGCTCCGAATGGTATCAAACCACTCACCTGTCGCTGGGTACTTCGACAAAAGGACAATGGAAGATGCAAAGCAAGACTCGTTGTTCGTGGTTTTGAACAGAAAGAAGGAGTTGATTACTCCGAAACCTTCAGTCCCGTAGCTCGACACGAATCGGTAAGACTGATCTTAAGCATCGAAAAAAATGAAGCTAATGACTTTCGATGTGAGATCAGCCTTCTTATACGGTGATTTAGAGGAGCAAATATTCATGACACAGCCTGACGGATTTGATGATGGTACTGGTCGTATCTCTAAATTGAATAAGAGCTTGTACGGCCTTAAACAAGCTCCTAAGAATTGGAACGAAAAGTTCTCAAAATTTTTGAAGTTTGGCGGTTTTGAGAACACAGACGATGACCCCTGTGTCTAATATAACAAAGATAGAAGTCTGATTATATCACTCTTTGTTGACGATGGACTTGCTGCTGGATGTGATGACAAATGCCTGATCGACATCCTAGAAGCACTTAAAAAGGAGTTTGAGATTACCTATGACACAGCGTCAAACAAACGTCTGTCATATCTGAGTATGCAGATTAACATTAAACAGAATGAAATTACTATGAACCAATCAAAGTATATTGAAAAGATCTTGAATAGATTCAACTTTGCAAGCGTAAATTCAGCGGCTGCGTCGGTGGAGAAGGGGATGCTTACTGACGACGAAAACTTTGTAAACGACAAGCCTCTCGATGAATCATTTCCCTACCATGAAGCAGTGGGCAGTCTACTGTACTTGACTACTATTTCTCGTCCTGATATTAGCTTCTCAGTAAACTATATCAGTAGATTTGCGAGCAAGTCGATGACGAGACACTGGAAAATGGTGACTCGTATTTTCCAATATCTGAAAGGCACAATCCACCTGAGAATTGCATTCAACGGTAGTCAAGATATCAGTACGTACACAGACTCAGATTTCGGAGGAGACTTAACTACTAGACACTCCACTACTGGTGTACTAGTATTAAGAGGAGGTCCTCTCGTCTGGCTCACCCAGAAACAACGTCTTGTCGCCATATCCACAGCGGAGACAGAATATCGAGGTGCAGACACGAACTTGGAATTGTGAACTTGAACAAGTCGACTGATCTCTGTGTAGATAATCTGTCAGCAATTCACATGCTACGAAATGCATGCGAAGGGAAAATAACGAAGGGTAAAAAACACATCGAGATTTCAAGGAAATTCATTCAAGACCATGTTGGCAAAACTGTCAAATTACGACATGTCACAAGTTCGGACCAACTAGCTGATATCCTGACGAATCCTCTCACGCGGAAACCGTTTGTTCATTTGCGTGATAAAATAATCAAGGAGGAGTGTTGGATTTGATTATTTTATCATTTGTATTTGCCGCGCGATCTCTGACGTCGCACGAGGTCGACTCGGCATTGGCTTTCTATTTGAGGCGACAACCGCGTTCTTCTTGTGTTCTGACTATCACTCTACGCCCTTCGTTCAATGGTTAATCCAACGCGTTTTTTATTGTATTTTTTAATGGTTAAATTAAAACAGTAAAATTAAGGTGAAAAAAAGAGTGTTTTTCTTTGTTCACTTTCCTAGCCTCCATTATAATTGGACGGGCCGGCCGACTGCTGAATTGGTTATCGTCCTTTAGTATTCAAAATTACAACACTATATATACAAATAGCGTCAATTTCTCAGTATGTAAGAATGAAATCGTTAATACACTTTTTTTAGGTAGTCTTGTGTTTCAGAATTTATCCACATCTTTTTAACAGCTGAAGCTTTTCTAAATAAAGATAAATTTATATAGCAAGTTTAACAACTTTATTACATTGAAAAGAAGTCTGTTTCCATTTTGAAGTGCCATCCTTCGTTACGAATACAAGCTTGATATCTTAGGAAAACTGAATTTATCACTCTCCGAATTTCATCTTCATCTTACTGTCGTTTAGTAATAATACACACACCGGTACAATGTGATCGTTCAATCTCGGGACAGACTATATAGGATGTCCTAGAAAAAGTGTTAGATCCGAAAATGGTTGATTCTGGAGGTGTTTCTGAATAACAATTTCCTTTGGCAAAATGCAAAGTGACACATGGTTTTTGAATTATTAATGAATAACACTGACCAATAAGAGCGCGTGTACGATTGTGACGCTCGGCCGTGGCTCAGCGCGGGTCCTACGCGTGCTCTTATTGGTCAGTGTTTTTCATTAATAATTCAAAAGCCATGCTTCACTTTGCGTTTTTCCAAAGGAAATTCTTGTTCAGACAGATCTACAGAATTTTCTCTCTTCGGCTCTAACACTTTTTCTGGTACTCCCTGTATAGGAATGTTACTGCATGTAATTTCGTTGTGAATATTCAAGTCGTTTTCAAATTTTGCTGTCATACAAAGATTCTCTTTACAAGATAATAATATTTTGCATAGAAATCCGTAGTTTTATATCATTTCATTTATAGAAGAAAGAGCATACGAATTATCAATTAAAAAAGAAAATGTGGACTTACTGCATCTCAGGATCTTTAAGCCATTGTTGATACGTTTTTTCAGCATATGATGTGCAATTCTTGACGCCAACTTCGCAGGCCCATCTCATTGCTTTTATTCTGAGCATTTTTACGAGATCGCTGTCCCTCCTCTTCGGTGCATAACCTACGTTCTTCGTCAAAGCCTTCGTCAGGTATGCCACGTAACGCTGTAAATTTCAGTATTTTTTACATTCTGGAGTTGCTGTCTTTATTATATTGTATCATAAACTGTGTTAAAATCATATAAACCATTTTACAGTAAAGTAGACTACTCTAAATAAATGAGGAAATGTCCAACACGTTAAGTATAAAAATTTTACAGCGTTCTAGGTAGAATTAGATATTTCGGTTGAAAGCAGGATTACAGATGTTTTAATTGCCGCATTAACAATCAACGTTTGAATTTCAATCGTCAATTCGAATTTCTTTGAATTACGAATTGAAATTTAATCGTTAATTGAAATTTTTTCCAATCAAGAAATAAGATTTGCTCGGTAATTTAAATTTTTTCTAATTAATAATTAAGATTTAATTATTAATTGAAATGTTTTCCAATTAAGAACTAAAATTTAATCATTGATTAGAATTTCTTCGAAACAAGAATCAAAGTACAATCGTTAATTGAATTTCTTTTCAATTTCGAATCCCTGTTCCTACTTTTTCGAACTTCCTGTTCTCACTTTCCTGATTAAGAATGTACAGGGTGGTCCACGCAACACCGTTATAACTTCCAAGATATGCGTTGCACGAAGGAATGT